GGGAGATGTGGTTAAGGAGGCTTCTACTTCTCAGGAAGTTGGAGCTTCCTCTACTTTTCCTCCCGCAAACGGCCTGGACAAAATTGCTGATGCTGCTCTTCAGTTGACCGCTGTTGATGAAAATTGATGTTGAAAGGATTTGAACTTTTTTGTTTCTTTTTTTTTATTGTTTTTTTGTTTTTGCTTTGATATACCGTGGCTTGATCTTCATGACGAGCTTTCTTTCTACACTTACTAAGACAATTTTACTTTCTCTTTTCTTTGCTGCTGGTTGTGAGGCCATCTGTGCCTTTTGTTTGGCTTTTAAGACTGAATGTTTTCTATACTGCTTGCCCCCAGCCAAGCATTGTTGGGGCCTCGGGGCTGAATAGATGCTCGGTCTGGTTCTGTGCTGCTTTTAAATAGATGCTCTGGCTAATTTTGTATTGCTTGCCCCCGGCCGAGCATTGTTGGGGCCTCGGGGCCGAACTGATGCTCGGTGTGGTTTTGTACTGTTTACCCCCAGCCGAGCACTGTTGGGACCTCGGGACCGGACTGATGCTCAGTGTGGCTAACGGATATGTGGTATGACTGTGCTTGAGTTCGTAAGTGGGTCTTACTTAGGTCCGGGTTAGTTTTGAAAGAAACAATTGTTTGCCCCCACCTGGAGCTAAGTAAGATCGGCACTGAAGATTGTGCTCTTAGGTAGAACTGCTGAAGTCTGTTTCAACTTTGATAGCATAAGAGCGCCTAAACGGAATAAAGGCATGAAAAGGCGTTTTACTCAGGTCCAGCTTGGTTTGAAAAAACAATTGTTTGCCCCCAGCTGGAGTTGAGTGAGACTACTGCTGGAGGCCTACTCCTGGCTGAACTTGGCCAAGTTTGTTCCAACTTTGTTTGTTCGCATTAGTACTGACGTGTTGACGTGTTGATACTTAAGAAGTTCTGTAGATGCAAAGGTGTTTACTTAAGATATGTCAGTGTGGTTTCCACCAAGCAATTCCACTTGGCTAAATAGAGATGTGTACTTAAGATAAATTAGTGTGGTTTCCGCCAAGCAATTCCACTTGGCTAAATAGAGATGTTTACTTAAGATATGTCAGTGCGGTTTCCACCAAGCAATTCCACTTGGCTAAAGTCCAATTTAGTTGCCAAACATAATTCCACCAAGCAATACCACTTAGGATGTTCGAGTACTAACCAAATCTAAATTCCGTTCAGTCGTTCTAAAACTAAGTCCGTTTGGGTTAAGGCCAAAGCTGATTCTGTTTGGTAAGTACCAAAGCTAATTCCGTTTGGTGAGAACAGAACCAAAGCTAATTCCGTTTGGTAAGAACCAAAGCTAATTCCGTTTGGTAAGAACCAAAGCTAATTACAAGAATTTGATAAATTTGAGAGAAGTGGGGAAACATTTGCATTGGTCAACAAATAAATGCCTTTACATTCTGATAGAGAAGTTGGGGGATAATTCTATTGATAATATTTCTTGAGGTTTGCTACGTTCTAGGGTTGAGGTATAGCTTTGCCATTCAGATCCTCTAGGTAGTAAGCTCCATTTCCAACGACAACTGTGACTTTATAGGGACCTTCCCAGTTAGGCCCAAGTTTGCCCTCGCCAGGCACTCTTTTGTGATCCATAACTTTCCTTAAAACCAATTCTCCTGGTGTAAATTGCCTTGGGATAACTTTTTGGTTGAAGCTTCTGATGAGCTGCTGCTGATACGCTTTAAGTCTGATCAGCGCTGCCTCTCTTCGGCCCTCTGCCATATCCAGTGCTTGCGCAATAGCTTCCTCGTTACTGGAGCTTTCAAATAATTCAGACCGAAGGGTTGGGAGACCTACTTCGAGCAGGATGATGGCCTCCATTCCATAAGTTAAAGAGTAGGGTGTTTCTCCCGTCGAGCGCCGTGCTATGGTTCGGTAGGCCCATAATACGTGAGGTAACTCTTCAACCCATTTGCCTTTTGCATGTTCAAGCCACTTCTTCACTCCGTTGATGATGGTTTTGTTTGACGCTTCTGCCTGCCCATTGTTCTATGGGTATCCTGGAGAAGAGTTCTTATACTCAATTCTAAGGTCGGCACAAAACTTTCAGAAGACCTTACCATCGAACTGTGTTCCATTATCCGCAATCAGTACCCGCAGAATGCCGAAACAGACCATAACACTCCTCAAAACAAACCGCTTCATGTCCGCTTCTTTGATACTTGCCAGCGCCTCAACTTCAACCCACTTAGTGAAATAGTTGGTTGCGGCAATGAAGAATCGCCTGTTCCCAGTGCCTCGCGCCAATGGTCCGACAATATCCAGACCCCATTACGTAAAGGGCCATGGGCTGGTGAGTGGAGTGAGAGTTTTGGCTGGGTAATGAATGAATGGAGCAAACTTCTGACATTTGTCGCACTTCTGTACATACTGTTGCGCATCTTGTTGCATCCGTGGCCACCAGTACCCGTGAGTGAGGGCTCGGTGTGCCAGTGACCTTCCGCCAACGTGGCATCCACAAATCCCATCGTGACTTTCGTAGAGAACATTCTCGACAAGATTTGGATGCACACATAGGAGGTAGGGGCCAAGGTAGGAGCGTCTGTATAGCTTCCCAGATGGTAAGATCCAGAATCGAGCTGACTTATGTCTGACCTTGTTGGCTTCCCTTTTGTCTTCGAGGAGTGTACCAGATTTCAGAAAATCAAATATCGAATCCATCCAGCTCGGCTCTAAGTTGTTGCAAAGGACTGGAGACGCAATACTCAGTTCTGGTACAAACTCAACCCAAACTTTTCTGGCATCCTTTGTATCCACTGATGAGCCTAGGCATGCTAGAGCATCAGCGTGGCTATTTTTGTCCCAACTGATTCATTCTACTCGTATGGATTGAAATTTTCTGAGCAGGTCCTTGGTCTTTCCTGCGTACATAGCCATTCTTTCATCTCGTGTTTTGTAGACCCCAGAAAGCTGGTTGACCACTAGTTGTGAATCGCTGAAAACAAGAAGCTGTTCTGCACTGAAATGTTCGACGCTACGTAAGCTAGCCAATAACGTTTCGTACTCGGCCTCGTTGTTTGAAGCCTTCCAACTGAGTCTGAGAACCTATTTCTAGACAAACCCTTCTGGTGAAATAAGTACTACTCCTGCCCCCGAGCCTCGGTTATTAGACGATCCATCAATATAAAGCTGCCAGATGTTTCCAATAAAGAGTTTCCAAGCTTCCGAAGCGCAGGGTTTTCCTTGTTCAGTAGTGCATAGCACCTGTGCCGAACGCAGATCCCCCGGTTTGGTGCTCTGGGTAGGAGCAAATTCTACGACAAAATTCGCTAAGACCTGGGCCTTGATCGCTGTCCTAGGTTGATACCGAATGTCAAACTCACCAAGTTCTACCACCCATTTTGCTATTCGGCCAGAGAAATCGAATCCCCCGGTTCGGTGCTCTGGGTGGGAGCAAATTCTGCGACAAAATCCGCTAAGACCTGGGCCTTGATCGCTGTCCTGGGTTGATACCGAATGTCAAACTCACCAAGTTCTACCGCCCATTTTGCTGTTCGGCCAGAGAAATCGACTCGGCTGAACACAGATCTGAGGGGGAATTTAGTGAGGACGTTTATAGTATGCCCCTGAAAGTAATGTTGTAGCTTTCTTGAGGCGATAAGCAGCGCGTATGCTAATTTTTCCAACAGTAGATACTATGTCTTGCTGACATAATATACAGGCCTCTATTCCTTGTTAACCTCTCGAATTAATACTGTGCTCACAACATGATCTGAGACTGCTAGATAGAGGTACAACTCTTCTCCCAGCTCTGGAGTGGATAGTAGAGGAGGTGTGCTGAGGTATCTTTTGAGACTTCGCAGTGCTTCGGTACATTCGCTACTCCATTCAAATGCTGCCTTTTTCCTTAAAAGCTGAAAGAAGGGCTTCATCCGATCTGAGGATTTGCTAATGAACCGATTCAATGCGGCTGCCATTCCGGCTAGTTTCTACAACTCTTTAGCCTTTGTTGGTACTTCAAGATCCTGTATTGCTCTGATTTGATCCGGATTCGCTTCAATCCCTCTGTGAGTGACCATGTATCCCAAGAACTTCCCTATTCCTACCCCGAAAGCGCATTTCGAGGCATTGAGGCGATGCTGGTGGTTTTTTAGGATGCCAAAAACTTCTTTCAAGTCTGTGAGGTGATTTGTAGCGAGCTTACTTTTTACTACCATATCGTCTATATAGACTTCCATGGTTTTTCCTAGTTGGTCCTTGAACATCCGAGTGATCATTCGCTGATAGGTTGCCCCGGCGTTCTTGAGGCCAAATGGCATTACTTTGTAGCAGTAAGTTCCCCTTGGAGTAATAAACGCTGTTTTTTCTTGATCCGGACCGAATAGTGCTATCTGATGATAATCGCTATAAGCGTCCAGAAAGCTCATGCGCTCATGCCCTACTGTCGAGTCTACTAGTTGATCAATACGAGGCAGCAGAAAGCTATCTTTAGGGCAAGCTTTGTTCAAGCAAGTGAAATCAACACAAACTCTCTATTTTCCGTTCTTCTTCTTGACTACAACTGTGTTAGACAGCCATTGCGGGTACTGAACTTTTCTGATTGCTCCCGAGGCCAGGAGTTTTTCGACTTCGGCAATTACTGCTTCGGTGTGCTCAACTGAGGATCTCCGACTTTTCTGCACAATAGGCTGAGCTGATGGGTTGATGTTGAGCTTGTGGCAAGCAAATTCTGGGTCCAACCCTGGAATATCATATGCTGACCACGCGAATAGCTCCATATTTTCCCTCAGCAGTTCCAGCAGCTGAAGTTTCTCATCAGTGCCTAGCGAGGTACCGATAAGGAAGTACTTTTCTGGGTCATCCTCTTTTACCAAGACTTTCTCCAAATCCTCTACCATCTTTTCCTCTGGGGTTCCCTCTACATCTTCTAAGACTGGCTGTTCGGCCACTTTTACCGTCTGTACCCGATTGTAGAGCTGTCTTGCTTTTAATGCTGTCATAAAGCAATGTTTGGACGCAACTTGATCCCCTGAGATCTACTCTACTCCGTGTTCCGTTGGGAAATAGATGAGCTGGTGGTAGGTTGAAGGGACTGCTTCCATTCGATGAATCCACTGACGGCCAAGTATGGCGTTGTAAGGGGATGGTGTATTAATAAGCAAGAACTCTATCTGGAGGGTTTTTGTCCCCGTCACGATTGGCAACACTATTCTGCCAGGCGGCCATTCTGGCTGTGAATTGAAACCGACCAACGGGGCTGCCGCTGGGGTGAGGTGCTGCTCGAAGAGACCAAGCTTTCTGAACAAATCATAATACAGTATGTCTGCTGCACTGCCCTGATCTACTAGGACTCGTTTTACGTCAATTCGTTTCCCAATTCCCATAGTTATAATTAATGCATTAGTATGTGGGTGTTGTATGCCTTCTAAATCTTTGCTAGTAAATGAAATTGTGCACAAGAGGGATTTAGGCACTGTACGTACCTTTTTTGATGAAGGCTTCACTGACATGATCTGCTAAATTTGCGTAGCCTTAGCAATCTCTTCCTTCAGTGCCTTCTCAGATTCCTGAATCGCTGTCCCGTGGATCACATTTATTATCAGCCGAGGTGGATGCTCGATATTTGCTTCTGGTGATGGGTTCCCCGGTTCGGTCATTTCCTTATCCTGATCAATGTAATCCCTTAGGTGTCCAGCTGCCACTAGGTCTTCCAAGTGTTGCTTCAGTGCCTTGCAGTTCTGAGTCATGTGCCCCCTGTCTTGATGGTAGGTGCATCTGAGCTTCTGATTGCACCTAGCTGGGTCTCCCAACATTTTCGGCGGCTAAATAAAGAAAGGCTCTCTCTTGATCTTTTCCAGGATTCGATAGATTGGCTCTTTGAATACAGTCACAACGGCTTCGTGGGATTTGAACTTATCCACCTCATTTACTGTAATCCCTCGGTGTTCTCCTTGATCTGTTCTCTTCTTATGCTGAGCTGTTTGTTCTGCTGACGCTACCTCGATGGGGATCTGATCGTCTTCAAGACGAGCGTACTGCTCAATCTTGGCGCGCAAGTCTTTCAAAGCTGTGGCCGAGCACTTGGTAAGTGATTGTCTCAGCTTACTTTCCAGGCGCAGACCATGCTTGAAGGATATAACGGCCATCTGCTCGCTGCACACATTTTCTTCCAGGTCATTGTACTCTTCCCAGTACCTCCTAGCATAATTGCGCAGCGTTTCCTCCTGCTCTTTCTGGAGGCCGAACAGTGTATCCGGCTCCTTTGGGATCTTAGTGTTGGAGACGAACCTGGCTAGGAACTCTTTGGAGAGTTGCTTCCAGCCATGGATCGATCCAGCAGGGAGACAATCAAACCATCGAAGTCCGGTTTCTCCCAGGCTGGATGGGAAGACTTTACACATCAGTGCCTCATCTCGGTTCCATAGGGATATCATCTGTCTATAATGACTAAGATGTGTCAGCAGGTCCGACTTCCCGTCGTATGGAGTGAACTTCGGTGGGGTGAATTTCTTTGGAGGTTTCATGGTCTCAATCTCCAGGGAGAACGGTGAAGAGATGAGCCTGTCCAGCGCTCGATGTTCTCTCCGGTGAACAGTACGGTCTAGATGATCTCGATGTTGCTTGTTCTGCCTATTGTCGATCAACCAAGTACGAAGGTCCTGAGGAGGGTAGTCAGTCTGTTGGCTAACTGTCTTCTGCCTTTTGGCCCTTTTTCGGCGTGACCCACGAGTGTGACTGCTTGCTACCTCACTCTGTACCGGGATAGGCTGGCTTTGTTGCCCAGACTCATTCCTGGGGAATTTCTTCACTGGTGGCTCTCTGGATGAGCTCCTCCGCCGTAAACGAGAGGGCTCCGCTTCCGTCTTCTTTTCCGTCGGATCACCCAGCACCCTCTTAAGTTGGGCTTTCAACTCTTGTATCTCCATCCCCATGGAGTCTATGATTCGATCTTTATAATCCCTTTCCAGAAGAAAGTGATGAGAAGAGCCTCCAGCGAAGGGTAATCGATGCTCGACGGATTCAGGGGTTCGATTATTGTTTCCAGTTTGTTCTTCTGGGACTGTTGGGAGTGCCAAACCTTTGTCCTTCGTCTTCTCGGTCTGCAGAGTATGTGCTGAAGGCGGAACGTCCTCAATCCCCATCGCCGGAACTGAATGCAGAGCTCAGAGATGAAGTGATCTACATTCACTGCACCAATTGTGTGTATCGGATTCCGCACTAAATGAAAATGGATCGGGGCCCTGCACTCGGTTGGACTATCCAGGGACTAAAGCCCCTGCCATAGGAAGCACCGTTAGAGCTGCCCGGCCGGGATTGGCCGGATAACCCCTCCGGTGTGGAAATTAGTGATCGGAGAAGGAATGAATATCGAATAAAGTTTATAAGTTTGCTTGGAATTGTTTTGTTACCTTCCATGTGAAGTTCATATTGTATATATATATGTTGGTTCCTTGCTTGCTTCTTAAAGTGGGTTCCTGGGGCTTAGATGCTGCCAGGTGTCCTTTCAATATTGCTTATGGTAGGGGACCACCTAGTAGTTGCCATTTAATGTATATACTCATTGTAGTCATGTTGATAACAAACCATATTCCTTTGGTTCAACAACTTCCGTGATTCTAGCTGAGGTGACAACTTGCATATGCACACGTTCACAACTTTCATGTTTCCCTGTGAGGTTTCCTCAGCTCGGCATCATTATGCCTCGTCTCGGCCTTGTACAGGATCATTCATAAAGATGGGCTGGTCCTTTCGGATATCTTTGTATGGGCTTGGCCTGTTATCTATAAGCCCACAGATTTAGTATCGCAACTCGGCCTAGCCCAGCACCACAGCTGGACTAGCCTTTCCACTGCGGTGTTGGGCCCAAGTGCTTGAGGACTTGGGTGGACTGTAGATCATGAAGTTGGGCTCAACTGGTTTGCCTATATACTCATCCAGCCCACTCAGATTCGGACTTCAGCGGATTGGGCCCGCCCAAGGCTTGAACCTGACCCATTTCACATTTAGCCCCTTCAGACGATAACATTAGTTATGCAATATATATATATATATAATGATATTTCTGAATAAATAAATAAAAAATAAAAGAAAACAATTTTTTCCCCAAATTTGTTTCCTTTTTCTTCTTATTGAACTTTTGCCACTCACCAATTGGAGGGCATGAATCCTATTTACTTCAATGCATTTGAGGTGTGCACAAATTAGTTTGAGTTAATCTTGAGACAAAATCATGAACTAAAAACCATATTGAAATTTTTTCAAACCTTCATCAATTCACCCATCAAACCATATTTAAATCAAATGTTTGAACTAATTTGAAAGGAAAAAAAAAATGTAACATGCATCCTTATTTTATTTTACAATTTCAAATAAAAAATCATTATTTATTTCAAATCTCGACACAAATCCACAAATTAATCGAATGCAAATTCATCCTTAAAGCACCTGTTTTAGGATGCTCAACCCAGGAAAGTTTTCACATGCTAAATTTTCCATTAAAAGTGAACCAATTCTGAAATCATTAACCATATGACTGTTTGTCTCCAACTCAAAGAAAAATTTAACACATGAAGACAAACAACCAGCAAAGCACTTTTATTTTTTTCTTCAACTTATTGTATTTGTCTTTGTCAACAAGATAATTTTGTTGGACAATCTTCACTATATTCAAAGAATGAATTAAAGGAAGGAGAGAGATTATTTGATTACAAAAATCAAAACAGTGTATAAAAATATATAAATAAAAACAGATTTTTATTTTGTTACAAAAATAAAATCAAAATCTAGAACAGGAAAAATAATTAAACAGAAAAGTAATCAAGGCACTTACCTTATTATTTTCTCGAACAAATTTTTGATCAAGTCCAGTGTTTAACACTGTGTCCTTAAGACAGATTCATCATCTCCATGGTGCTTTCAGATCGCGGACATCTATCTCCCAAGATAAAATGATTAACAACGAAAAATACTAAGATTACAATTTATTCGCACAACGAACATACTTTTTGTTTATACTCTTTCTCACAGGAAAAAATAATGCAGCAAAAGGCAGAGATTAACAGCAGTAGAAAAAAGCGAAAATTGAATGAATAAACCAAATGAGGACCTGCCTACTTATAGATGACTTGGTAGCTGTTCGGTTTGAATCCAACAAGTAGCAAACCTATTTGAACAGGTATAGAACTTGTTCGGTTTGAATGAACAGATACGGAACTGTTTGGTTTGAATTTTGAATAGATAATGAATCTGTTCAGTTTTATTTCAAACAAATAGGAACCTGTTGGGTTTGAACTTGAATAGATATGAATTTGTTTGAAGAGGAAAAATTTGAATTTCTAGACAAATTTTATTTTTTCAAAAAATAAAAATAAATTCAAATGTTTTTGACCCAAAAAGATAAATATTGGGCCGAACAAGCCCAACCAAACCTCACACCACATGCCCAAACCTAGGCCCAGTCCAGCCTGTCCAGATTGACGGCAGCAGCGGTGCGCATGTGTTTATTTTGGGTCCAATGGGTCTAACCCACTCTGCCCATGACCTCCCTCTCTACAAAACTAGCGTACCCCAAGTTCCAAATACAAGCCTTATAAACCCACACCAAGGTTGCCTCTCAAAGCAATGTGGAACAAGCCTTATTTCAAACATTAATGGAAATTTCACCAAAAACACCATTTCCATGGAGCTCACTTTGGCTTCAATTTCTCATTCACCCAATAATAGTTTTGAGCAACCAAATATACTACGTGATCACAACGCGGTATAGAACGCGTTACCACTTAGACCCACCAACTTTGGCGCATAGGTCCCCCCTAAAAATTAGACTAAAGTTGAGGAAAAAATTGATTTTTCCAAAACCATTTCTAACAATCCCTCGTATGAATGGAATTTGATGACAACAGAAATGCAACAATGTACAGAATTTGTCGAAAGAGTATAAATCAAAAATATCTTGCATCAAGATAGGTAGCTTTCAGCCTTGAACCTTCCCTAGTGATAACTTATTGGACTTACTAACTAACCAATAGATGTGATGCCTTGAATTGTGCAGCCGTTTGTATAAGCCAAGATAATAGATTTCACATAAAATATCTTTTGACATATCGTGGTTCTCACGGTTGTGTTCATTTTGGCCTTGGATGCTCCTGGTTGTTCATGAGTGCTTTAGAGAATTTAGCCTCTTCATTCTCATAGAACCGGCCCCAATTTGACACTTATATAGGTATTTTTACTGTGAGTATCTCTTATACTTGTCTTGATTTTTATGCCTAAATCAAGATATAAGTAATCATTAAAAATAAAGCTTATCCTTAAATCTCTGCATATAATACATGTTGTAGATATCACTCTCATCATAGGAATAGATAGGAAATTTTAATCCCTT